ATAAACAACAAACCGAAAAGCAAAGGCCAATCTCCTGTAATGCTGCTTTGCTAGTTAAGCCTGATTTAAGCCCATCTATATGCCAAGCTGACTAGCTAAAACGCAGTACATCATAAAAATAATCTTTTGAAAACCTTAAACCATGGCTGATACAAATACAAAATAAGCATCAAAAAAGCAGCTCTCTTTCTGGTGTGGTAGACACACCTGTAATGAGTGAGGAAGCCAGGAGTTGAGCTGGAATAATCTGACTTTCAGGCCAGCCTGGGCTACACAATCTGCCTCAGAAGAGGCCAGCCTGGGCTACACAATCTGCCTCAGAAAACTAAAAATGGAAAGGAGGGAGGAGGAGGAAGGAGAAAAGTGTGAGGAAGAATGGAGGGAGAAGGAAGCAGTAGACGATAAGGCCAGTGGGAGAGAGAGTTCAGGGAGTCGAAGTTCAGTCAGCACTTCAAAGGCACACTGAAACCTCTAACAGCCAAGAATTATTTGATAACCTAGAAGTTCAGAAACCATAAACTTTGGAGTTAATGTTCTCGCTTGAGAAAAATGCTTTTGATTAGGCAAAATGCTACAGGTTCACTGGGAGTCGGTAATATAACAGGAGTTAGTAATAATGAAGCCCTAAAGAGTTAGGATAAAAGAATGTCCTAATGGCATTTTCTTTAGAAATGTCACCCACTCTTATTCTTTCTGAAGTTTTGAATATATTACATAGCCCTATATTAATTGATGACATATAATAAAATTAAGTGGCAACATTTAATGCCTTAGGATGCATCAAATTATTATTTTTCTTACAAAACTTGTGTATGCAATAGAGACAGACATTATTTCTTTAGGGGGAGTGCATTGGAAGTGCAGGGACCATCTGAAAGTTTCCCACCAGCAAGAGACCATGATTTGGGGATTCAGCAGAACACAGTGCAGATGAGCATCCTCACCCCCTCCTTCTCATCATTCAGTGCTAGAGAAATCAAGTGAACAGCCTTCTGCTGGGAGGTCAGAGCTTAACTCCTAGCATGCCCTAAAGCATGTATACATTACTTCCTCTTCTGTCCCCCTGTAACCAGCTTGCCCTTTAATTTGATATCACACATCAGATCTTCTATTTCAATTTGAATAACAGAGAATGAGAAATAGCTTAGAAGGTATCAGGCAAAAGTAAAAACTACCTTGTATTTCAACTATGTAGAAAACAACTGAACTGGAAGAAAGGGTAACACTATTTGTTATGTGTGTGTTTGTTGCGTGTATGTGTGTGACATGTGTATGCATGCTTGCTCCTGTGTATATGTTTGCATATATGTTACTGCATACACGTGGGGAGGTCAGAGGACAACCTTGGATATCTGCTTTGTTGTTCACTGTGACATAGGCCAGGCTGACTAGCTGGCTTGGAAATTTCTGGAGACGTTCTTGATTATACCACAGGCAAGCTAATATTGTCATATGTATGCAAGCACATCTGGATTTTTATGGATTCTAGAAATACAAATTCTGTCCTTCATGCTTAGGCAGGTGCTTTGTCTACTGAACTATCCTCCTTTCCTTATAAAATGAGATGCCTCGATTTATAAAGTGCCTGCTCTGTAAACATGAGTACCTGTGTTCGGATCTCTAGCACCTACTTAAAATTTGAGAGTGAGAGTACGCACCTGTAAACCTAGACTTGTCAGACAGAGACGAGGGGATCCTGGGAACTTGCTCACCATCTTGCCTTGTCAAATCAGTGAGTTCCAGGTTCACTGACTCATAACATAAGGTGGAGAGATACTGAGAGTGATGCAAAATCAAATCTGGCTTTCACATTTAAATATACATACATGTGCATGCACCCCCAACATATACCACGCATGTGCATGTCCCAACCCCTCCACACACACTAAGATGGTGACTTAAAATATGTGTAACTATCCTCATGATATGCACTTTATAGTCTTCTCTGAAGATTTGGGATATACAGAACAATTTAATGGACCGAGAGCAATATATTTAAGAAAAATACAGGCCTGACTAAATACCTGTCTGGAGAAAAAGCACTCTTTAATTTTAGAAGCTTGAAATCTTGAAGAGACTTCAGACATGATTAAGGAACCCGCAGAAAATGATCTTAAATTTCTAGGATTAATATGCAGAGGACGGCAGAAATGGGAGGTGCTCCAAGGTCTACTAATTCTCCTGTAATTTCTTTTAAGGTTAAATCATTGAGCCGGTGACACAGAGAAGAAGAAAACTAAGCACAGGACTGTATTGTGTACAATCCTGCTGCTCACCCGACACATTCCAGGATGAACACAAATAAGATACAGGATGTTATTTGTCTTTCTCTACACTAAATGAAAGGCACAAAATGAGTTCCCTCGTCAAATAAAAACACATAAATATGTTGGTATATTGCGTTTCTATTTACACTTACTCTAAAACACCGAGAGAGCTGTATAAAGCCTGCAAGTATTGCTTTGTAATTCTAGCCCATTGTTTAATATTTAGCTCCTTTCGGTTTCATGGATTAGAAAACCTTTCAGGAGAGAAGATACTCCTTACTAGCTATCCTGTGACACCTACAGCTTTAAAGGTAACGGCAATTTGAATAACAACACACTTAGACCTCTATTAGGCACAGTCTGGCTGTCTTTATCTTGATAAGGAATAAGAAATTGTCTAATGATCAATTTTTCCAACAATATTTTCCTTATTTACAAGTCAGAGTCAAGAGACAAAGGAAAGGCTGTTCTGGGATCCAAATAAAGATATCACCAAATCCCCAGGCTCCAGCTGAAGTGGAAGGACAAAGGGAATAGATTAGGAAAAGGCCAACAAGAAAAGAGAACTCCTGCCTTTTCTCCGCTCCATGGAGACTGAGCGTAGGACCATGGTGCGACCCACTCCCAGTCTCATCTAGCTGAAATAAATTAAAGTGAAAAAACCCTCAGAACAGGGTCCTTGGGAGTAAATACGGTATCTGTATCTTCAGGTAGTTTTGTACTAGACCTTTACCCTCTACTCCCAAACCTTTGTCCCACTTCCATCATTCTGAGAGGGATTCTACATTTAGAGGTCTTTGCCAATAGGCCTGGGGAATTCAATCGTATTTTGTTCATGACCCTATTGCAATGAATGTCCCTGCACAGTGCCAGATTTCCTATGGCCAAGGGTGAGATGAAGAAGTGTCACAATAAGAAAGAAAGTGTTGGCGCAGGGTGGTTGAGAGGTCTGGTCCTTCCTGCTCCAACTGTCTCTTAGCCTGACTGAGTTAAAATCAATGTGTCATAAGAGGAGGAAGATGAGGATGAGGAGCTAAATCTGGAGCTGGAAATGCTGGGACACTGGGACTTGCTGTACAGTAACTTTGTTTCCCACTAACCCTCTTGAGAGGCTGATTGGTGAGTTGACTTGTCCACTGATATCTTGTAACTGCATCTGTAATTCCCAATTCTTTCTTCAAAGCTAGCTCCTCCTTGGCTATTCTTCTCTCTCTCTCTCTCTCTCTCTCTCTCTCTCTCTTCCTCTCTCTCTCCCTCTCTCTCTTTCTCTTATTCTCCTTCCCTCCCTCCTTTTTCCTTTATTATTTGTTTTCTTAAAAGTTATTTTTTGATATCATACTAAACACACCCCTTTCCTCTTCCTTTTCTTCCCTCCAAATCCTCACATATATACCCTTTTGCTCTCTTTCAAATCCATGGCTTCATTTTTTCATTAATTGTTATTATAAAATACATGTACATGTGTATATCTGTGCATATATGTGTGTGTATGCATGTCTGTGTATATATGTTTGCACGGGATTCACCATTTGGTATTTTATAGCCCATTGCTGCACTTATACCTTTGGATGGGTTTAGTAGTATAAAACTCCAAGTTTTTTTTAAAGGCTGGATAAAGCTGTGCTCAAGCTAAGTGAGTATACCTTGTAAGTTTCAAAACCAATCCCAATTGCTTTTGGATTTGAGTAACATAAAGAGGGCTCCTTAGCCTCAGTGACATGTGTGGTTCAACCCAGATTCTCCCGAGGTAATATTGATATCCAAGCTCAACAGTTTTTTCTCACTGTAATTCACGGGCCTTCTCTTTTCTTGCTTCTCTGAATCTTGCTCAACGGGTAAGGCAGTTGTGGCTGTCTCTGTGGTGTCCTTGGGTATCTTGTTGTTACTTCTTTCTCAAGGTCCAAAGTCATGGCGGACTAGAATTGCAGCATTGCCAGTTCTCACCACCACTTGCTTTCTTAAATTTCTTGGGGTCAAGGTAGCTGAGGCCCCTCACCATCTTCATCAAACCCAACCTGGACTAAATCTTTTCTGCCTTCTGGTTCTTCCTTCTTTCATTTGTTCTTTCTTCAGCTTGGGCTTAGATATTGGGCCCTAGCATAGGAGAGCCAGTTGTTCATGTACAATTTGAAACTGCTCCTCTAGTTCTGCCAAGGAATGATCCCTTTCTTTCCTACTTCTACTATTCCTTCTTACTTCTTCTATTTTTCCCAAAGGAAGAGGAGCTTCCTTTATGTCTTTACCATAAAGATGATTTGGCCAGCTCAGAGGGAAAAGCCATTGAGACTTGGTAAAAGCCTTGGTTCCAGTGGTTCATCTAGCACCTTGACATTGGGGAATTCAAACACAACCTGTAACTTTCATGCTGTGGCCACAACACTGTATTTTGGATGGAAAGACAGGTTGTATGTATAGCAATTGAAAAGCCGAAGCAGCACATTTTTAAAAATATAAATTTCAAGAGTACTTTAGCATCATACCATTGGCTCTACATGATTGCGAAAACTCATTTTGCATTGAAGATTCCCTTTTTGATTAAACTTCTCATTCAGCCAATTGAAATTTTCAGAAAGCATGTATTTCCGATAAAGCACAGCACTGTTAATGAAGTGGTAAAATAATTATAATCTTATTCAGCTCCTGTTCATGAGAGCAATTTTAGAAACATTTACCATCTTAGGAATGCACACTGATTTGTTCATAACAGAATAAAAGCTTGGAGACGCTACTCACGCAGGCTTGATCGTATGAGCATGTTTCTCATGGACAAAGGCACCAGCCAGACCTCCAGCTCCTGAATTTAAATACTGGAAAAGAAGTAAAATTTTATGAGTTTACCGAAAACGTGAGAAAAATATAAACACTGCTTTCATTTTTACTTGTTTTAAATAAGCCCATAACTTTTGACCAGTTCAAAATGTGGGATCATTTGAGCTTTTGCAGTAAAACAGAGTATTAGGTCTTACTGTTAAAAGAAAAAAAATGAGAAATATTAAAGATGAAAAATATGTGGCAATGTTATTTTCATAAAATTTTATTCAAATTATTAATTCAGGGGAACAGGGTAAAAGGAGGCTCTGGAGAGCCTTGGATATGTTGAAAACTTAGCTGGTTGATCCTCTCCTATAATAGGCCACCCTATCCCAGCAAGAGACAGATGCAGACAGATGTAAGAGGCTGGTGCCTGAACTCATTAAAATGTTAACATATACCTCTTGGGGGAGACATAAGACGTCAAGTATATGCTTTTGGTGCACAAAGTTGTATGTAGAATTACATTTAATAGATAGAACATGCATGGAACACTAAGGGGAAAAAAAAGATCCCAAAGTTGCAATCCCTGTGAAGTAGGGTCTTTTAAACTACAAAAAAGATCTTTTTGTTCTTGCATACTTCCTACCTTAGATAATTACCTTTTTCTAACTCACAGCCCTATTTCTGTGACTCTTCATGTGTCTATGTCCAATTCCTTCCTTCAGGGCATGAGAGTTGGGAAAGCTCCAGAGGTGTTCTTGGAATGCCTGGTATCACTAGGAAGTAGCAGGTAAACTAAAGTCTCACAGATTTCAAAGACTTTGTCCAAATGTTCCATATCAAGTACTTACAGTCTAAGAATTTCATTTCTATATGTAGAAATGTTGGAACTTCGTCTTCATATAAACAAAAACTAAAGGCATTAATCAGTAAGTATGAAGCTCTAAGTGTGGAATTATTTTCTATCTATTTAATTTGCTTTCATAGTAGTCTAGAAATTTAATGAATAAATTTTCTACAGCTGTAGGAATAATAGACCTAAATTATGTTTCATGTTACTTTATCATATGACTTCACTATTTTCTGAATCAGGAAACACAGGGCTGACGAAAGTAGAGTGTGCGTGTCGTGGGCCAAGGTTTTTCTTTAGATTAAAACCTATGTGACATAAAAGAATTCCAGACATGAACTTGTTCCTACCTTGTAAGAACACCAGCAGGCAAAGTCAACACCCCAGTCATGTAAGTGGAGTTCAACATTTCCAACTGCATGTGCTAGATCGAAGCCAACAAAACAGCCCTCGGGAAGAACATAACAAGGTGTCAATTGGTTTCATGATGAGAAAGCTTTTTGCAACATGTTGAACAGTAACTCTTCCCTCTCTGATGCCTCAGCTCACAACATTTGATCTATACTCCCACAACCGTTTTGTTAACCCAGATTAAAGCCATCTTCATAAAAATTCCAATACTTCCTTCTTCTCTCCATTGAGATTTGCACTTGTATGGAAGAACGGCAATGAAACTTTGGGTCCAGTAGGAGAAACAGAGGTATCACTGCGAAACTGGGATGCCTTCATTGCACTAACTCCGCAGTTCATTTGTGGGAGATGGAAGGGGTTTGCTTAAATTCTCCTTGTGAAAATTACAACAGGGTAAAGGCAGGTCCCTGTCTCCTGCCCAGCAGATTCAGAGAGTTCTCAGAACATGCAAGCTGCAGAACCAATGGCGGCTATATAACCTTCTGCCATGCGGCTCCACATAGAACCTACTAGAAACAGAAGGATCTGAGATCTTTACCTTTCAACTCAGTGCATCTGTGCTAGCAATAACCGCACAAGCATTTTTCTTTTTTCTCCTGGAGCCTTCATCTCTTACCCTCCACCCACATACATATTGTGTCATATTGCCTTGCCTTTGTTTGTTGTTCAGCTGCTTTTAGGCTTTTGTTTGTTTTGCTTAATGCAGATTACTCTAAGTCATTTTACTCTAGTCTAGTGTAATTTAATTGAATTTTCACTCTAGTCTAGATTAATTTAATTTAGTCTATTCTGTCACATCTCACATATTCTCCCATTCCTTGCATGTCTTCTCTTCCTTTGATCAAGATCACTCCTCCTTCTTTATTGTCTGGTTATAACTTTCCAGCAATGTAACAACCAGTCTCTAAATTCTGTAGATCCTAAGTATACCTCAACTTTCCCTACCTTAATTTCTTTGTTTTTCAAAGTTGATATAATACTTAACCTTTTTCCTTATATACTTTACTTCCCTCTTTCTTCCCATCATATTAACTAAAACCCAAGTATAATTCAGGTTACCCTTGGCCATTTATCTTGCAATTGTTTTTGAAGTCTATGCTAGTGTCACAATTACATAGTGTTAATACCAAATAGCTCTGGTCATTCTTTTAGTTAGTGTTCTTCATGGGGATATATACAGAGTTTATGCCAACACCTGGAGCTCTTGATATAAAGAATCATTTTCTGAACTTTACATTTTATACGTCCTCGGCCAAGTAACACCTGAACAGTATAAATCTTTCAACAAAAAGAATATAGCTGATTAGAAAACACCAAATCAGGTGAAGAAGTAGTACCAATACACAATTTCCAGTGCACTAATGACGGAAACAGGAAAAACCAAGACAGCATAACTCCTTCAAATACTATTACTCTTGCAGCAATGGCATCTAGGAAGAGTGAACTAGGTGAAATCCTAGACCAAGAAATCAAAATGATTATAAACATGTTCAGAGACACAATAGCCAAAGAAAATACGGAAGACAATAGATGAAATGAAGGAAGAATTTGTCAAAAAGAAAGAAATATTGATGGAAAAACAACCTGAAATGCTGAATGTAAATACCATATTAAGCAAAATAAATAAGATAAAAATAACACTAAAACTCTAAAATGCCTCAGCAATAGAGTGGAGCAAGCAGAGGAAAGAACGCTGAACTTAAAGACAAGGTGTCAGAACTGGAAGGCTCCAACAATGAGAAAGATAAAACAAGGAGTTAATGAATATTGAGAACACCAAGATGGATGAGGCCCTCTGAAAAGACCAAATTTGGAAGTTGTAGGCATAGGAGAAGGAGAATAAACTTATTCTAAAGACACAGAAAACATTTTCAAAAGAATCATGCTAGAAACTTTATCAGAATTAAGAAAAGAGATGCCAATTCAGATATATATATATATATATATATACATATACACGTACATACATATATATATGACATTTAGGGAAGGAAAGCACTTCCTTTCATAGTATTCACATTAGAACATTATTAAAACAGGACAAAGACAGCCGGGCGGTGGTGGCGCACGCCTTTAATCCCAGCACTTGGGAGGCAGAGGCAGGCGGATCTCTGTGAGTTCGAGACCAGCCTGGTCTACAAGAGCTAGTTCCAGGACAGGCTCCAAAACCACAGAGAAACCCTGTCTCGAAAAACCAAAAAAAAAAAAAAAAAAAGAAACAGGACAAAGAAAGTATATTGAAAGCAGCAAGACAGAAACACCAAGTCATGTATAAAGGTCTGTCAGAATAACAATATATTATTTAACTGGAAATTTCAAATCTAGAATGTCTTGATATGATATATTTTAAATTCTGAAAGTTAACTACTGTCAATATAAACTACTGATCATAATTTACAGGAATATAAGTACTTTTATGATTAAAAAATAGACTAAATAAATTATAAGCCCTAAGCCAGCTCTACAGAAAATATTGAAAGGAATGCTAAGACTTAAGATAAACACAAATCTTTCCATGAGGTTCCAGATAGGAATAAGCCATGAGTGAATGATACTAATCAATGGAGGAAAAGAAAAAAACAACACTACAAAATCAGCAGAATGGCAGAGATCAATACACAACTTCCAATAAGCCTGAATATTAATGGTCTCAATTCCCCAATCTGAAAACACAGTCTAATAGACCGTATCAAGTAGCGGGGTTATCTATATGTTGCATCCAAAAAACACATCTCATCACCACAGGTTGAGAGAATGAAAAATGCCATTTCATGCAAATGGATCTACAAATAAGCAGATATCACTGTTATACACTGTTATAAAACCTGACAAAATATAATTTAAACCAAAACTAATGAGAAAAGATGAAGACAACGACTTCATTCTGACTAATGGATCAATCAATCAAGAAAACATTATTATTATAAATAGTTATGTCCTGGAAACAGATACAGTCAATTTCATAAAATAACTACTGGAGATATATTAGCCCCCAGCACAGTAGTAGAGGTGATTTCAATGTCCTGTTCTCACCAATTAGCAGGCCATCCCCACAAAAATTAAAGAAGGAAAGAAAGAAAGAAAGAAAGAAAGAAGAAAGAAAGGGGAAGGAAGGAAGAAAGAAAGAAAAGAAGAAAAGAATATCTGAGTTAAATGAAATCATACATCAAATGGACTTAGCAGACATATACAGAGCATTGCATCCAAACACAGTACAATGCACACAATATTAGAACACAAACATAGTATAATATATACAGGGAATATCAAACAGTTCATTGTATTTCATTAGACTACAATGCATTAAGACAATGGAGAGCAAGAAAAACTCTAGAACACACAAAAACTTATGGCTATTAAGCAATACACTATTTAACATTGGGTGAGTCCTTGGAGAGGTCACAAAAAAATAAAATCATTCCTAGAAGGAAATAAAAACAAAAACACAATATCTCAAAACCAATGGGATTGAACTTCGTAGCTCTACATGCCTACATTAAGAAATCATTTGGTTTGCTGCTGTTTGTTTGTTTGTTTTTTTAAGAGAGAAAAAACATAAATTTGTGTGTGTATGTGAGGGAAATCTGGAAGGATATTTGGAAGGGAAATATATATATCCATAAATATATATATACATATATAATATAATAAATAAAAATGTCAAGTAAATAAAAGGCAAGAAAGAAAGGAACAAAGAATGGAAGGAAGGAAATAAAGAAAGGAAGGAAGGAAGGAAGGAAGGAAGAAAGAGGAGAGATTACAGCTAAATAAATTAATGATTCACTTAAAGTTTTGAATAAGGGAACAGGGCAAACCTCAAGTAGCAAACGCGAAGAAGTTGTTAAGATCAGGGCAGACACTCATGACACAGGAAACAAAATAAACAATAAAGAATCAATAAAGAGTCATTTCTTTGACAAGATAAGAAAGATTGACAAGGCTTTAACGAATCAGACCAAACGTAAGAGAGAAAAGACCAATTTAATAAAATAAACAACAAAAGGGGATCCATTACAACAGTTACAAATGAAATTCAAACATCATCAGATCTTATCTTGAAATACATTCCATTGAGTAGGAAAATCTCAGAGTAAATTTTTAGATGCACATGAATTTCCAATATTAAATCAAGATGGGATAAAAAAAATTAAACAGCTCAGCAACAAGCTGTCAGATTGGTTAAAGCAAACAGAAACAACAGCAAAAAAAACCACAGAAAATGACAAGGAAAACAACAAACAAACAAAATATATCAGAAAAACCAGATGTTCTCCATGGAGGCAATGGCTGGCTAAATTGTCTTCTGTTGTGCCATTTTTTTCCAAATTTGAATTAACAATAATATCAAACATAAATGAGGAACAATCATACCAAATAGCAGTTTTTCTCCAAATATTTCAGTTTTCTTTCCATGTGTTTCCTCTTTTCTTCTGAAAATGACAAAGTTCTCTATGCTGGCTAGGGACCTGTGATTTGGGTGAAACCTGCATGGTACTTTTGGAAGGAACTCCCTCTTCCCTGTCTGTTTCTTCCACTGTATCTAGGACTTGTCCTGGATATTTACTTGCTATGTAACGTATAGGGACTCAATACCAGGTGATCAGTCCTGTTTGTTTTCCAACTGAGCCAATAAAGTCCCTTTCATCTCAAGAATAAGTATATTTTTCTGGGTTTCCCCCCTCAATTGCTTTTATATCATGGAGTTTGTGATAGACAGAGGCCAGAGTAACAGACAGAATTAGACATAGGAGGAAAAAGGGCAAATCTTAGCAAATTTGAACTTCTAAACTGTTGAACTTCTAAAAACAGAAACAAACTAAATACTTCTAACTGAATGTTCTGAAAACAAAATGACTAACCTTAAACTAAATGCTTCAGAAACAAACAACAACAAAAAACAAATAAAATTCAAACCGAATAGTTTCCCAACTACCATCTCAAAACAATTCAGTGAATCACCCACTGATGTAATGGAAGAGTTCAACCACAAGAAAAATGCCACAAACAACTGCCCAATGAGGCAACACTAGGCAACTAG